GGGGGGGGGGTGAGGCTCTAGGGAGAAAAAAGTATAGAAAAAGCATTGCAATAATGTGGCTGGAGTGAACACACTCGGGTCATAGGGAAGGGTGAGGAGAGTCTGAGGAAGAGAGGAGAGTCTGGGATGAGCCTAAGGTTCTTACTTGGGGGGCTGAGTGGGAGGGGGTGTCATTCATTAAACAGAGAAGGAGAAAGCTTGGAGTAAGGTAAATGAGTTGCTGTCAGACCTGCTAGAAGTTTCAGGAGTCCCACGCATCAGAGTAACCATAAGAGTAGTATGTAAGCTTTCCATATATATTTTGGGTATGTTTAATATTTATGATGTATTTATTAACAGATTTATTGAGATATAATCAACACACGATTAACTGGACATAGTTCAAGTGTGTAATTTGGTAGTCTTGACATGCGTATACCCTTGTGAAGCCATCGCCACAATTAAGATAATGGACATATCCATCACCCCCAAAAGTTTCTTGGTGCCCCTTTGTGATCTGTCTCTGTCCCCAGGGAATCACTGATCTGCCTTTTGTCACTGTAGATTTTTTTGCATTTCCTAGAATTTAATGTAAATGGCCTATATGTTACACTCTTTTATGTCTGACTTTTTCCACCCAGCATAATTATTTTGAGATTCACTCGTGTTACTGAGTGTATCGGTCATTTATTCCTTTTTTATTGCCATGTAGTATTCTATGATAATGATGTAGTACAATTTGTGTGTTTGCCTACTGATGGGTTCTTTTTCCCCCCAGCTTTCAAGCTATCACAAGTAAAGCTGCTATGAATATTTGTATGCAAGTCTTTGGACAGGTATTTTCATTTCTCTTGGGTAAATACCTAGGAGTGGCATAGTTGGATCATAAGTTAGGTGTATGTTTTGTGAGAGATGGCCAAACTGTTTTCCAAAGTGACTATCCCATTTTGCGTTCTCACCAGTAGTGTGTGAGAGTTCACTACTCAGGATCCTTGCTATCGCTTAGTATGGTCAATGTTTACACATGCCAGCCAGTGTAGTTGTGGTATCACATTGTGTTTTCAATTTACATTTCCCCAGTCATTAATGATGTTGAGTATCTCTTGATTTGCCTATTTATCATCAATATAACCTTGGTGAAGCGTCTGTTTGGATATTTTGCCCATTAAAAAAAGAGGTTGGTCATTTTCTCA